TATTATTTATTGTCATGCTACACTGATACTGTAGAGTAATGAATAAGTATTTTGGGAATACTTGTTTTTAAAATTTGATAACGGAACTCTTAATCAAATATTATGTAACTATATTTTTATAATGTTTGCAATTTTACAAAATAAATGCACTACCCAGAAAGGCTGAACAGCAACACATAGAGTATAATAACATAATATACATGCAGCTTGATTCTTATACCATTTCAATTGCTGAAACTCCAGAGGGAAATAGATGATACACAGTATAATTATTTTAATTGAATTTTAAATAATGAGATCCTTAGAAATAATTTAAATTTATCATCCTTATATTTGTTTTAATTTTTTGTGGCACATTTGGTGTAAGCCACCAAGAACCACTTCTGGCAAAACGTGTTTAATAAATAAATAAATAAAACATTATACACCGCTCAAAAAAATAAAGGGAACACAAAAATAAGACATCCTAGATCTGAATGAATGAAATATTATTATATACTTTGTTCATTACATAGTTGAATGTGCTGACAACAAAATCACACAAAAATTATCAATGGAAATCAAATTTAGCAATCCACGGAGGTCTGGATTTGGAGTTACACTCAAAATTAAAGTGGAAAAAAACACTACAGGCTGATCCAACTTTGATGGTGCAATGTGGCGTTGGTGGATGGAGAGAGACATGATGTCCCAGATGTGCTCAATTGGATTCAGGTCTGGGAAATGGGCAGGCCAGTCCATAGCATCAATGCCTTCATCTTGCAGGAACTGCTGACACACTCCAGCCACATGAGGTCTAGCATTGCCGTGCATTAGGAGGAACCCAGGGCCAACCGCACAAGCATATGGTCTCACAAGGGGTCTGAGGATCTCATCTTGGTACCTAATGGCAGTCAGGCTACCTCTGGCGAGCACATGGAGGGCTATGCGGCCCCCTAAAGAAATGCCACCCCACACCATTACTGACCCACTGCCAAACCGGTCATGCTGGAGGATGTTGCAGGCAGCAGAACATTCTCCATGGCATCTCCAAACCCTGTCGCATTTGTCACATGTACTCAGTGTGAACCTGCTTTCATCTGTGAAGAGCACAGGGTGCCAGTGGCGAATTTGCCAATCTTGGTGTTCTGTGGCAAATGCCAAACGTCCTGCATGGTGTTGGGCTGTAAGCACAACCCCCACCTGTGGACAAGGGCCCCTCATACCACCCTCATGCACATTTGTGGCCCACTGGGGGTCATTTTGCAGGGCTCTGGCAGTGCTCCTCCTGTCCCTCCTTGCACAAAGGCGGAGGTAGCGGTCCTGATGCTGGGTTGTTGCCCTCCTATGGCCGCCTCCACGTCTCCTGATGTACTGGCCTGTCTCCAGGTAGTGCCTCCATGCTCTGGACACTATGCTGACAGACACAGCAAACTTTCTTGCCACAGCTCGCATTGATGTGCCATCCTGGATGAGCTGCACTACCCGAGCCACTTGTGTGGGTTGTAGACTCTGTCTCATGCTACCACTAGAGTGAAAGCACCGCCAGCATTCAAAAGTGACCAAACCATCAGCCAGAAAGCATAGGAACTGAGAAGTGGTCTGTGGTCACCACTTGCAGAACCACTCTTTTATTAGGGATGTCTTGCTAACTGCCTATGCTTTCCACCTGTTGTCTATTCCATTTGCACAACAGCATGTAAAATTGATCGTCAATCAGTGTTGCTACCTAAGTGGACAGTTTGATTTCACAGAAGTGTGATTGACTTGGAGTTAGATTGTGTTGTTTAAGTGTTCCCTTTATTTTTTTGAGCAGTGTATTGAGGTATCCTATATTGTCCAATCAATGGGTTCAGGCTTTATGAAATGCTTGATATGCTACTTATAACCTAAAAGCTTAGTTAATTCAAGAAAACAATTTTCTAGGGATTACTGGACCATTGAGAGAATGTTTTTAAAAATATTAATTCTCATCCTTTCTATGCTTCAGATATAATACATTTAAAGGAACTTGGTACGTATATTATGCACATTGCTACTTGCTTGGGCTTATTGATTAGACATTACTAGGCTGAACCATGTTCTTCAAAGATATTAATTTTGGGGTTAAAAAAATTAATTTGAAATTAATTCTATTTCCAAAATCAGAAATCTTTCTGCTGAAGAACTTTGTTTATACTAAGCTTACACTGTTGCTAAAAAAAAAGTTTGAATCCCAGATTCAAAATGTTGTTTAATGAAATTTGTCAACGTTCATGTTGAATCACCTTTGTAATGAAAGTGCCACAAGAATGTACAGTGTAACTACAATACATTTAACTTCAATACATGTTCAAAATAAATAATAACATTAAACATTAAAATAGGTAATTTTAACAGATTAATTTTAATGTTTTGTTTTAAGTTTTATTTACTTTCTGATAGTATTTTTTCTATTTCCTAGGTAGTTTAGCGTGTTTTTTTTACCTTCCTATCAATCCATTTTTATTATGGTTACAGACCAGCATTACAAATAAAAGCATTAAAAACAATAATAAAAAATAAAAATAAAAAACAGACACAATTATATATTATGATTGGTGGTGGATAATCAGTGGGCAGTTGGAGTCTGCCTAATCCTGCATACAGCATAAAGAATATGGCCACATTCAAAGAAACTAATTTGTACTGATTTGATAATAGTAATTGCACATCTAAGAGATCAGTAGTTCCTGGATATATTAGGTAAGGTGTTATAAATTGAGTCTGTGAGTCCTTATAGAAGATGCAGTATAGCAGGGTGTGATTTCAATGGTTCCTTGTCCAGAGGGGTACAATTCAGCTCTCGTAGTATTTTTTTGAATTGCCCATCCAAAATGGCTGTGGAAAGTGCATTGCAGTATGCTAATAGCACTTATAAACCAATTTATACTGCTTTACAGCACTGTCTTAAGTGATTTACTGGCTCTATAATCTGGGGGCATTTTACCGACCTCAAAAGGATGGAACCTTGAGCCAGTCAGAACTGAACTTCTGGCAGTAGGCAGAGTCAGCCTGCAATACTACATTCTAATACTGCATCACAATGGTTCCTAAGGTTAATGCCCTTTGGATATTGGGAACAGTTATTTGATAGAAGTATCTCACTGCTTTAAAAGGAGAAGTTTGACTGCTCAAAAAATAACATTGGGAGAAGCTCTTGGGAAGAGCAGACTAAACTTGTTGGATTCCCAGCTCTTCAGTACATTGTTTAAGTGCACTAAGTTACATTTATCTTTCTATTTTTTTCTTCAGTGAATAACCATTTAGGTTTGTGTTGTAAACTATGCAATATTTAAATAAGAGTAACATATTTCTATTTACTTTATATATGCTACAATAAAGTACTGAAATTTTTAAAAATGTGAATTGTAATGTGTTTGAAAAGAATATACTGAAGTTTTAGACTAGCATTGTTTAAATTTTTCTAACCTTTTTATTTATATTTTATTTATTATTTATTAATATTTTTTAAAGAAATCTCTTCTTCACAAAGTAAAATTACTTGTAGCAAAAACACTACTCACTGGAGCTATGTATGCTGATCCATAAAACCTATAGTTTCTTGCATTGCCACAACAATAAACCTTTTTTCTTTAAAGTTGTTTTTGTGTGGTGTGAGTAAAGTTACCATAAAAGTATCAGGAATAGCACATTTCAGGAAATTATCTGTCATTTGACAGTTTTTGTTTTGGACTGTAGACTGAAAGATGGGTTTGGGTTGGTCTGATATAAACTATAAGGATATATTTTATATGCCTAATCCATTATTTCTGCTTTCTTTGCTCAAAAGAATAATTTATACAAGTTATGCCAAGGAAGAACATGTTCAAATAACAAAAAGGTTGTAAAAATAAAATGACCAGAGCTGAACTTTATTTTTCACAGTCAAAAACTTTAGTTTATTCTTTTCAAAAACATTACAGTTCACATTTTTAAAATTTTTAGTACTTTATTGTAGCATTAACATTATTATTTCAGTGATACCTTGGCTTAATGGACCTAAAATACAATGAATATTATTATACAGACTTCACCCCCTTTCTATGGACTATGAATTGTCTTGTGTATCAAGGTTTTACTTTATGATGATGATAGCTTGGTTCTAATATGCAATAGTGGCTAATATATTGGTTCTAATATGTTCGCAAGTTTAGGCAATTTAGAATTATAAAAATTTGTAATTGCTACACGGTACTTGTGCTACTGCTTTCAAAAAAAAGCTGAGGGATGGAAGAAATAGAAACCACCAATGACAGTTTCAAATGAGATTGATAAAATATATTATTTTTTTATTACTGCAATAAAATTGGCTTTTAAATTTTCCCCAAAGCCAGTTCAACGTGATAATTGTTTTTACATTGTTGAACAGTATAAAATCATAGTATGTTGCAAAAGTTACTATGATTGTTCCAAAGTATGTTCCAAAAGATACTTTCATCTCTAGTTATCTGGAAAGATGCTGCTTCTCATTTAATTGTCAACCAAAATACATGGAACACAATTATTTATTGTCTTACAAGTATTCGTTAAAGCCTTTGGATGTTTCAAGCTGTCTGGACTTCAACTCCCAGAATCCCCTAGCCAGTATGTTTAGCTGGGAATTCTGGAAGTTGAAGTCCAGACAGCTTAAAGTTGCCAAGGTTGAGAAGACTGTAATAAAGCCTTTCCATTCATAGAACATTCTGATGTTATGATTCAGAATGATATTTTATTCTTTTACTGTATAAAATTTTAGTGCGTTCTTATGATTTTGTTACATTTCATTTTGAGCTTCCTATAAATCCTATTGGCAGTTTTGCAAATTTCTTTATGCCCATTGGAAGTATTGTGTCTGTATCTTAACAAAGTATGAAAATTAATTAAGCTATACTGGGATAAATAATACTGCCAAAGAAACCAATTAACATAATATTTATTTTAATCTACTTTAGATGGTTTTGTTACCGCCAATAACTTTGTGTTTGAGAAATACATTATATTGTGAAAAGAACAGTAATTACCTGACTCCTGGAGGTAACGATAAACCAAGAAATTCACTTCATCGCTGGTTATGCTCATCTTAGCCCCACCTCAATACAATGAGGCTTGCAAGAAGTGTGATCCACGCTCTGTTCAAAGAGGAATAATCAGAAATATATCTTTTGATTGCAATTATTTAATCTTAACTGTAATTTAGAATTTTAAATTTCTTAAAGGTAGGTATGTTGTTATTCTGAGTTACAGCTGCATTTAAATGAAATAAACATGTATTCAAGTAATTATTTAATTGATTGAAAAATTTAATTGTTGGGAAAAATAAGTGTAACAACAGTAAGTTGACAGTTTTGAATGAGATTTTCATCATTTATTTTGAAAGCTATTCACAATTTGCATGGTTATCCTTGTAAAATGAACCCACATACCAGAAAAGTACCAAATATTGAAACATAATAGCCAGTTTAAAAGAAGTCATCTAGACCAACATGGTTGGTGATTCTCAGCTTATAATTCATTTTAAAAAATTACATACAAATAAAATATAATTTTAACTATGACTATGAATTAAAAGTATATCAAGTGGCCTTTAAAATACAGTATATAATCTAATTGTTCCAATATCTATGTTGCACTTTGACCGCTCATCATAAGTTACACAATAATGTTTTTTTACACAACAACACAATTGTTTTTTTTTTACAAATTCTCTACATATATATGCAACATCTGTCCTTTTTTGCACTTAGGAAAACATTTACTCATTCAAACTGTTCAGCAATTCCTTCTGCTTAAAGGGGCACCTGCTATTTTAAGTCAGCTATACTAATCTACAGGTTTCCTTGAAGCTGAAGGTCAGACATTAAACTAGAAGATGTCTGCATTATTTATTTATTTATTTATTTATTATTTGTTGGAACTATTTGGTGCTGTTATTTCAGTGTTCTCATATAATCTATCATCCATAGAGATTGTTTTCCCTCTGCAGTTTTACAATCATGGTAAATTAGAACTCTTCTTCCTAGGTATTAATTATACTTACTGCAGTAATTTGGACTTAGCACAATAGAGATAGTGATTTGCTTTTATTTCCTTCTATCGTATTTCCTAACAGAAAAATATTTTATCTTATCTTCAGTAAAAAGTTTCTTTGGAAAGAACATGGATTAATTTATAGTTAAAAAATTATTAAAAAGTCTATGAAGAAAATCCAGTTTTACAGAAATTACATACAATAAGAAAAAACATAAATGCATTCAGTGGCAAGACTCCTAAAAATTAGCACGTTATCTATTTTAAGTGTTCTCAAAGCTTAGTCCACAACTATAGGTTTATTTGTTCTGAGTAAACTCTATCAGAATAATATAAAAATATTCAAATTTATTATCCCTATGTCCAAAATACCCATTTGCTGCTGCTGCTGTTCTACTATTACATTACTATTATTACTGATACCAACCAATACAACTGAAGGCAACAGAAAAAATTGCTAAGATTGACGTTGGCTTATCTTTGAAACAATATTCAGTATCAATGTATGAGAGAGTGAGGCAAAAACAGGGACTTACAAAATATATACTAGAGCTTGGAAAAATATTTTAGACACAGCTACCTTTCACTGAACTGTTTAAATTCTAACTTATCTCAACATTTTCAGGATTCCTAAAACATTTTTTTTCTTTGAGAGTTTTCTTACTCAGACTGCTTTTCTAAACCATCACCACAGAATCTGTCTGCATTATCTTCACTGCTCTGTCTACTGCTTTATAATGGTTACATCAACGATGCATTGTCACTCCTTGATGCCCCCAATAAGTTCCCAATATCCATCAGCGATCTCTTTCTCTTTAAGATCATTTTTATCAGAATGCAGGGATGAAGAAAGACAGTTGTTTTAAAATTTTGTAAGATATATGGATAATCTGTATTAGTTGAAATGACATAAAATATCTGAAAGTTCCATAATCATGTCAGTTCAAACTTCTTAGGCTGATAAAAACTCTCGAACAACTCTTGAAGCTGACTTCATTCTCAGTCATCATCTTCCCTCACACATTTTGTCAACCATGCCGAATTAAGGGCTTACATAAAAAGAGAGTTTTTAAAAATGGTATACTAAACCTTTAAAACAAGTTTTACAAAATCAACGTGTTCTTTTATGTGATATTCTTCAAAGCCAATAAATAGGTTTTAAAAAAACAAACCTAAAAGTGATTTAAAAGACAAGCATCAGATATCAAACTTTTAAATCATAAGATTCAATTGTGCCAGTAAAATTATTGGCATTTTAAGTCACAAGTAAACAAAGTGAGCATCAAATACTGTGCAAAGACATTGCTGTAGTACACATTCCTGAATGTAGCTGAAACCAGATTAAAATGCAGCTGGGTAAATTAAGAAAATAAAATTAAAATATCTTACAACAAAATGTAAGATATTATATTTTAAAAATTAATAATAATAAATTCAGTGACCAGTCACTGAAGTCTAGTTTTGTGACTCAAGAACTCCTTCATGTTCACTTGAAGTAGTAAAATTGCTTGGTGCTATGCCAGCCCAGGCTGAATAGGAGGACCTTGCATCAGGAGCTCTCTCAATGTGAGCTACAGCAGTGCCAAGCAATCTTCCTCCTGCAATTAAACACGGGCAGCAAACTTGGGCTTTTCCTGGACAGCACTGTAGCCAGCTAGCCTTGCACTTGTAACTGACTGGCTTTAAACCCCAAAGCCTCCAACACTCCCTCCCAAAACAGGTTGAGTTAATTTCTCTACTCCCTTCAAAAAAGCTGAATTTTCCTTCCTCTGAAACAAGTTGCATTCATTTCTCTTCCCCCTCCAAGAGGTCCAAATAAGTTAAATTCCAGGCAGCAGAGGGCCATTGTTAACTTCTTGCTTATTTTCCTCCCAAAAAACTAAGTCCAATCACATAGTTTCGTAGAGAAGCACTGGTCTCCAGTTAGTACTGTATACAACACAATTGTGTTTCTAGCCTTAGTTTGGAGTTCTAAGTACTGCTTTGAATGCCAGCTCATTTCCTTGTCATAAAATATTGCAGAGACCTAAATCACGATTGGATGTTTGTTTGAAATCCACAGAAAGGCTCATATGCAAATATGAATATTACCAATATTATTTCAAGTAGACAATTTGAAATTCACTGTTTTCTAAAAACCAGTAGTTTCAGATAAGAGATACTAGCAGGTGATTTACAGATACAGTATGGTTGAAATCAATGGGAAATAAAACTAGCGAAAAAAAAGTCAGAGAGAAAAAGTAGCTTTATGCAGCCCCCTGCATAAAGCTACTTTTTCTCTCAATGCTATGAGGAACAGGGTCATCCAGTGACCCTGTTCCTCACATAAAAGAAAAAAAATGTAGAAAAGTGAAAAAATGTTTAAATGGGTTTAGAAACCAATATGTCTCTGCCAGAAAGCCTAAAACCTGACAACTGACTCAGAGATTGCTGGATAGATACATATTTTAAACATTTTAAACTCTATTAGTTTGAATTATTTTTTCAGTTCACAGTTGGTTTTTTTTTAATGTCAGCAGCCTCTAGCATTTAAAATCTGAAAGTAGAAATGGATCTTCTCTAATTCCCTCTTGTCCACAGTGAAAAGGGCTTTTACTTTATTGATCTTTTGTTCTTAGCACTTCACTCAGAAAAAAAACCCCTCTTAATTAGTGGGATTGTTTTAGATTCTATTTCATGACCTACTTCTGAGACGTAAGACCTTTGATTAGTCTTTTTGAAAATGAAATACTTTGATATTAATATATTAGCCTATGCAATCAAGAAAAGGTGTGAGAACAGACGGATCACATTACTGAAATTAAATGAAGTTAGAAAAGTAACAATATATAGTAATGTATGTATGTCCCAACACTGGAAAAAAAATAAAGAGTCAAATATCCAGTTTATGTGACAAACTATCAAAGTTTTGGTATCAGTATTAATAGCTTCCATTAATTAGGCTATCATAACATATAGCAAACAATGGCAGAAACAAAATTATGTGATACTATGAAATCTTCATGTAGTATTTATCTAAATAGGCACATATTATTCAACTGGACATTTTTTAAAAAGATATATCCAACTGAAACTGTTGACATAATGTCATTTGATTACTATAGCAGGAAAAACAATTTCAAATCCATACAATTTGATGTTAAAATGGTAAATGTATTCAAAAATATTCAGATAAGGTAATAGGAGCACAAATGTGTACTTAATAGAAAAGGAACAAATACAGGAAGAGGAAGTTCTTTATCTCATTTGTTCTTTGAAAATGTGGCATAAGCATTTTGCCTTCTACTGAGCCTGTTCAAAATTTTGTGGCATAATCTATTGTAGCACAGAACAGAACAAGGTGAGCACTGAATAAGGAACAGGTGCAAAACTATGGAAGTACTTGCAAGGAAGAAGTGGCATTATAAATTAGATAAAGAGACATATAGAAAAATACTTAAAAAGAAATATATCCATTTAAACCTGGGGTATCAAAGTCAAGGCCTGTGGGCCAGATCTGGCCCATGAAGTGTTTCTATCTGGCCCGTGTAAAGCACCAGCCCATGGTGCATCTGCCAGCAAAAAAAAGAACTTTCCGTTTTCAGCTAGGACGGCCTCCTGCACCCCTCTGCCAGTGAAAACAGAGCTCAAGGGGGCCATGCATAGCCTCCCGATGTCCATTTTCTCTGAAAGAGCTCTGCAGAAGGCCGCCCCAGCCAAAAACGGGGCCTGGAAGCTATGCATGGCCGTTTTTGCTGGCAACAGGCCGTGCCCACTGCATCCCGGCCTCCCCCAACCCTCTATGAAATCAAGTTTGACACCCCTGATCTAAACTCTCTTTCAGTCATAAAATGTAGCTCAGTGATATGAAATAATTTGCAATATTCTCAATGGAAGAAATAAACCATGTGATAATAAGCATTAGAGATGGTATTCAGCAGGTTCTGACCAGTTCTGGAGAACCGGTAACAGAAATTTTGAATTGTTTGGAGAACTAGCAAATACCACCTCTGACTGGAGATTTTACAGTATCCTTCCCCTGCCACGCCCCACCAAACCACGGCCACAGAATCAGTAGTAAAAAAAAAAATTGAATCCCATGTAACATAGCATGTAAAATATT